ATTTTGCAGGATAAGACTATGTTACACAACCGAATGTTTGTGTACAGTATGTAGAGCAACAGCTTGCACTGTTCGTGAGTCATTCGTTTAATGGCGCATGGGACAGAAAAACAGAACTGCTAATAGCGATTTCTGTCTAAGCTAACGCCCACATCAAACACACTTTCAGTTTTCATTTTCCCTTAATGCTCTGGCACAGCAGCCTCATACACACAAATATAACCTTGAGTTTTATAACTATACTGTATAAGGAAGAAAAAAGTAACAGCAAGCAGCAACTTTTGACAAGTTTGGATGTCATTCATCCAAATTAAACGTATATGCGTGTACGTGATCACACTCTCTATAGTATCTATAGTCCTAGGCTAGATGTCTGTTACTTGTCAATGAGCCCGGCCTCTTTCAGTTTGAAGTAGAAAAACTTCTCCAGTGTGTTGGCACACTTGCAGTACTCGCTGTCTGGAGGGTTGTACTCTCTGCAGTTCGTGATCACTCTCTGCAGGTCAGCGATAAACAGCTTTTTTGTCACATAATACCGGTTCTTCAGACGCTCCGTCATCGTTTTCAAGTCTGAGTAGGAGGAGAGGTTTATTCAATATGATGCAAGTTGCTGTTGTTCAAACTGTATAGACTTTTACTGATTAATATTGGCAGTCTAGCTCGTTCAACTAATTCAATAGCGGCTCTTCAGAGAAGTTAAATGTCATTACTGTATATGCAGATTATATTAGCACCTACCAATGGGGAAGCGGATGACCTCATAATAGTCTGGAGCTTCAGATTTCTTCACTGGCTCCATGAAAGGCCAGGCGTCTGGATGCGTCTGTTCACACACAGATGAGATGGTGAGAATATTGAATATACTATAACAATATACCCGAATATTGTGTAGTTAATGTGCTGAAATGAATGTGTGAGTGACAACATGCCTCTTACTTTAATCTGTGCAAGTAGATTCTTTAGCATGTTGTAGAGCAGATCTGGATCTTTCAGCTCTTTACTGCAGAGATCAAATAAAAGAGAATGATTTATACACACAGGGTACAAAAATAACACTCATAAAACACCAAAAGCAAGTAAAAATTGCTTTCTGCAAGTAAAATAGCAACTTGACAGGGCTGCTAATTTTATTAGGAACTACAACATAATTCTGCGGTTTTATTAAGACTGGCTCATCTTTCACACACTAAAAGTGACCAAGTGTGACCTTAGTCTCAAATATATGCAGATATATAAAGTAATATGGAATATATATTACACAGAAAAACAGCTAAAT